GCTGTGCAAAAGGAAGCACCTTTAAATATTTTAGGAAAGTAGTGAAAAACACAGTGAAGAACATGCAGCTCCTGTAAACACCTAGGAGACTAAAATATGCTGACAAAAACCAAAAACTATGGTATGCTTCAGTCACCACAAAAATGATGAATGAACTTTTCTACTGATTGGCAACAAAAGTCCACAGGCCTCTAAAAGAGGTTCATTGTATAAAGAAATGTGGTAACCCTCCAGGAGCAACAGAAATGTTTAAATTCAAAATTATGTACAGCATTTTACTTCCTAATCAAATGCTTGCCAGATTATGGATTTGATAAAGTGCACACAGCCACAAATAACACTTGTAATGAATGTTACCTGTCAATAGCTGGTCTTTTATTTCTCCAAAATCAAGTGTTAAGTAGTGTAAAAAGTTGTGAAGGGAAAAAAAAAAACCAAGAATAGCATCAACAATAACAGAAAACAATCTGCAAGAACTTCCTTAATTCTTTTTTCTGTAACATTTGAAGTGAGAAAGTAAAGAATCCTTAAATATATTCTGTGCTTGACTGGTATGCAAAACTTCCTGTCAGTGGATGTAAACTCCTAAAAAGATCTGCAGTGTAGATAAGAGAGCTGCAGTGGGACCAGAGAAAAGAATTTTACCTCAAGGATAGCATAGAAAAGAAAATAAATGTCAGGTTCAGAACAGATGTTAGGAAGCTTATCAGGAGATTAAGCTGGAAATGGCCTGAAACACAAAACATCCCTACACCTTGTAAGATGCTTAGCAAGGTGCATCAGCACCACCCAAGCACTGCAACGGAGAAAGGGAAATTTTCTTTTGTTGTCTCCATTTCTGACATATTCTTTAACTCATCCCAAATCTGTGCTGCTTCTGCTGCTTCCTAAAGCAGCTGCCTCTCCCAGGCTATCAGCCAGCTCTCAGAATTTCCTCCTCTGTGGAATTCTGTCATTAGCCCCAAATTCCCCTCTGTTGTCTTCACAATCCCTTGGCCTTTACTCTTCCTCCTGCCCTCCCTTATCCACTTCATTCTACGCCTATTTCTCACCGGCCTTCACACAGCAAGTTTTACTCCTCTTCACTGACAAACAAAGTAATTCTAGAAAAACCACAGCATCTTATCATCACATATTACTCACTCCTGCATACATTATTTCTATTGCTGTGTTATCAGCGTTCATTACAAACTCTTCGATAAGAGGATTACCTGTTGATCTCTAGCATCTCTTCTGCACTGGGTATGAACCAATACCTGTTTCTTTGCCATTAATATAATTTGTTACTTGCAGGCTACGAGTTCCATGGGATTTCAGTGTGACCCCCAACTCCAGAATTGCAGCCTTACTTGTATATTGTAAATGCACAGTGAGCCCAGTGGCAGGGAAGAATGATGAATCTGTCTCCATGTTCTTAGAAGGCTAATTTATTATTTTGTGATACTATGTTATATTAAAGAATGCTGTACCAAAGAACACAGAAAAGATAATAATGAAAACTCCTGACTCTCTCCAGAGTCCTGACACAGCTTGGCCCTGATTGGCAAAGAATGAAAACAACTCACAGCAGAATGCAATGGAACAATCACCTGTGGGTAAACAATCTCCAAACACATTGCACATGTGAGCACAACACAGGAGAAGCAAATGAGATAAGAATTGTTTTCCTTTTCTCTGAGGTTTGTCAGCTTCCCAGGAGAAGAATCCTGGGTGAAGGAATCATGTTCAGGGAATGTGAATGCCACACTTGTAGTTCACTCCACAAGATGGAATTGTTTTCCCCATCTACATTTTAGTTTTTAATGCTTTTCAGTAACACACAACCATGCTGTCTTCTCTACCTTATTTAAATGAACATTGCAAGAACACATTACACTCATGCACCCCACAAAAAGCAAAATTTATAATTTGCTCACTAGTGCAAAGGAGAAAATTTATCTTTAAATGTTTAACTGCCGTTAAGGAATGCTGCAGCACTTTTATTCTGAAATAAAACAGTTCCTACATAAGCCAGAAGGGCACTCCACATTCTAAGATTTGAGCTCTGCTTAATAATTTACGTTTTTATTCAATTGCTCATTGAAAATTCAAGTTTTTGATACTAAAGAACGCAGTTTAAATGAAAACAGGATCCCTGGAGAATTTAATAGCATACTTCCCATAGTTTAGACTTTCTGAACAAGTCAGCTTTTATCAGCAATAATTGAAGTTGCCAAATTCAAGAACAGAACTGATGTGGCTACACACTGTGAAACCATTTAGTGACAGCACAAATACAGAACACTGTAATTAGTTGCCTAACCATTGGTACAAAAAAAATTGTGCAGTGTGCTGCCACCTCTACATAAATTTCAAAGCGCTTATATTGTGCAAGATTTCTACAGTCATCAACATTAAGGGGCTTGCTTTGCCCATCTGTACTTGTAATTAATTGATTCATAACTTTATGTAACTGAACAAAGATATTTGAAATATACTCAAGTAAAACACTGTGTTATTGAAAGATCATTATACAAATGATCACAACAGCACCTACATTTGAAATGTTTGTTTGACTTGTGCAAAAACATTCTGAAGGACTACCCAAAGAATGTTTTAAAAGTGATTTTTGTTCCCATCAAGTACATGATGTTGTTTGCCTTTAAGCTGTTTCTGAGCCATTCTTATTTCGTGGAGATTTTTTACTTCAAAGAACAGAGGTTTACATGAGGTCTCACCCTTGGTGCAACTTCACAGCTGCTCAGGTGGAGAAAAATAAGTGAGCACCACAGCGAAGAAAAACAAAACATGTTTTCATACAAAACTCCCAGAAAAGAAGGTTATGAGTGTGCTTTTTGACTTTTGACTTACATTTTTATTATGCTACTTGACCTGGCCTTCAGTCTACCCTTCCTCCTGCCCATGAAACTCACAAGATGCAGAGAGGACACATTGCACTCACAAAAAGAGAGAAATATGCCCCATTTTGTTGCTCCAGGAACTTACCTACCATCACCAAGCAGTTTATTAAATTCCATGTAGCAGAACTGCCCAAAACTTTAATCTTTACCAGCCAAAAGTAGAAGACGTAAAGGCCATTATATTATTCTACCAATTTTCCTCAGCCTAAATCCTTTCAACACAGCCAAAGTCATGTACACCAAGAAATTCAGGAGAAAAAAAGAAGTGAGAGGGCATTTTCTCTCATGATATATAAAGATGGAGTTCCATATTTATGCAAATTATGTAACAATTTCCTATGTTTATTTTACAATTTTAGATGCCCTAGTTTTCAAAGGTAAGCAGTTTATTGTACATATCTTCAGAACATCTTTGCCTGGTTCCTTTAATCTCTCCCTTGCACAGGTATCAAACTATGATTCAGTCACTCAGCTGGTTTGAATTCTTCCAGTTGTTCCTCTTACAAGGACAAGTGGTAGGAGCTTGTGGTGGAGCTTGGACACACTCACTGTAACTTCTAAAAAATTAAATTTCCCTCTCAGAGCAGGACACAAGTGATGAGACATGATATCTTCATTCAACCCTCCAACCCTCTCCTCCATCAGATCCTGATGCTAAAAATGTCCCCCTAAGCTTCACTTTGTCCAGAACTTCATGAGGTTGTTTAGGTGGGACTTGAGGTTTCACACCAGCCTCCTTCACTGAGGATTCCTTGTCTATTGTGCTTTGCTTTCACAAGCACAAAGATCCTCAAAAGAAACAGACCATTTAGAAAGGCACTGACATCATTGTGCTTTTTCTTGACCCAAAGACTTCCTGCAGTTTCAATTCTCTGCTTCTGTGAAGCATCTACAATACTCTTCAGATTCTGAAGTGACTAGCAGCAATTAAACTCCATCAACAATACAACACTGGATGTTAATTTAAGCACTGGGCAGCACAGAGCTAGCAAAACTGACTTCAGGGATGTCTCAAGAATTATTGCACTTGCTGTGTATGCAACAGCTATTTATCCCAGGTTCCTGGGCATCAGGAAGCTGAGCAAAGCTCCAAAACTCCTGCCTGGCACATAGGGTTACTGACCAAAGGTCAGATACTGAATGTAAAGAGGGAAAGGCCAGAAGAATTTAACAAGTAAATTCATACTTGAAATGGATTAAGAGGTGGTGATCTGTGCGCACCCCTATGGCAACCAAGCCTGGACATTCATAGAGTCCCACTAACACCTTCTGCCTGTGAAAATTAATATTTTTAAAGCCATTGGGCAGACTGAAGGGCTTTGGAGGTAAGGAACACAATCCTTGATTTTGTACAGTACCAGAGCATGGTGCCAGGAGCACCAAAGTCGAGGGGTTGATGCCCATAGGAGCCCCTTGGACTCAGTGAATCTCCTGGGTCCCTTCCAACTCAGAATGCTCTGTGATTCTATTACCAACAAGAATTGATATTTAGGTAATACAAGAGATGTACATTCATGAAAAATCAGCCCTCTCCAACACTTCTGTGCAGTTCCATGCGCCTGATCACTGCATTTGTTCCCTGCAATCATTCCACAAACAGAAGACAAGTCCCATCTATTTGGAAGAAACTTTCCATCAAATTTCAGAATGGTGCTGCATATAAGCACCAAATACACTCCTGTTTCTGGAGAGGGGTTGCCATGGGGCTGAAAAGGAGGAAATATGCACTACAGGTTAGAAAATGACTGCAGGAAAAGCCTCCTGTATACTTGCTTTTATTTTATTATCCCAGTTAGTGGTAATGAATTCAACTATTATAAACCTCTTCTATAACAAGCAACAATGGATTAAATATCACAACAGCCATCAAAAATATTTTGCTATCAAACCAGAGAGATAGTTCTCCTTCATTTTCAATCACTTCCAGCACCAAACACTCTTTTATAAAAAGATAACATTAATGTAAGATATTTTTTGACCATTCAACAAGACTACATGTAAAATAACAGTGTTCAGAACTCTGTTGGAAATCTATCTGGATTAGACAGATCATCAAGAAAAAGAAATTTTTAAAAAAGGCAGAAAAATATCTATACTTACACAACATTAATTTGTAGTGAAGAATAACCAGGTAAAACTCTTCACTCTTTTGTGGGGCATGTCACATGTGAACATGTACATATTTTTCTCCACAAATAATCTGCAATATTTTTTATAAATTATCCGAGAATGGCATCCTAATGTCCTAAGTAAGTGTAGCCAGCTAACAGCACTGATTGCCTGTATTTATTACTGGGAGTTTGCTTTAAGAGGAACAGATGGTTTCCATGTGCTCCCAATCAAATACTCTCAGCTGCTTATTTGATCATCCACACTAGGTTTTTTGATTTAAATAATTGAGCTTTAGCATTCTGTACTTTTAAAATTTGACCTGCTGCCTGCAGCTCTTCTGACTTGTGGCAATTGCTGTTGGCTGGTGGCCAGCAGCCTTTTCCTCAGACCCCAGCACAGTTAATTCAGCACTGAATTGAAAACAGACACTCTGTATTCCTTAGGACAACATAGTCTAAATTCTGTTCTCCAAATAATCCCTATAGAGGCATACAAGAACAATTAATAATTCAACTATTAACCAAAAATGAAAGACTCGTTTAATCTCATTTAACACTGAGCAGTCTTATGACACATAAATGAGTGGCTTTAACCCAGTGTTTATTTAATTATTTAAAGAGCAAAGTCGTTTAAAATACAAATGCATAATTTACAGGGAGACAAATAACATTTAAAATCCACCTTCTATTTCTCTTGTCCATTTGTTTCAGAGCCAAGGCTTGTTGCAAAATCATTCCATTACACTCTGCATCTTGGGTTATTTACTTGAAAACACAAATATGTATATCACTTAGTTCTTTAGCTGCTATTCACTGCTAAAAAGCAGCCCTTGGTGTTCTGCTGAGTTTAGTCTGTTACTGCCACTGAAGTTGGATGTTTTAATGAGATAATATAATCTCTCTTGCCTGGCAAGTGCAAGGAAATAAGCATACTAGACTTGTCTGGTTACTGAATGATGGAAATGTATGTTTGTAATTACCAACACACAATTTGGCATATGCTCCCTTTTGGGAGAGTTCTTCAAATAAAAGTTTTAAACATCAGGGTAATCATTGGCAAAATGTAGGGTTAAATCAAACATTAATCTGAGAAAAAAAAAAAAAAAGAAAAAGTGAGAGAGTGAAAAAGTGCCTGAGAAAGAGCATAAAAATGCATTCAGAGAAATCTTAGTTGTTTATAAATATGTATTGAAGGGTCTTCTGAAAATGAAAACACATATAGCTGCACTAAGGCATATTGCCTAATAGTGGAACTGCCTACAGAATTCAGAATATTACATTTACAAATTAAGTTTGAATTCTTTTTTAGTTTTTTTGATTTGGTCTGTCTAGGTTAGGCCTGAGGAAATGTTTTGTTAGATTGCTGACTGGCAGTATAAAATTCCAACCTGAAACTTCTGATGGCTGAGTCAAGTCAATGAATCTGTTAGAACAGAATGAGGACTAGTGTGGGGGCCTGAATACATGTTGTATTGTGAGATCAGTGTGTGTCTAAGTTACTCCTCACGAGCTACAGCTGTTGCCCAACTAAGGACCCTGCAGCTGCAGCTCGTTTGGAGTAACTTAGACACACACTGATCTCACAATACAACATGTATTCAGGCCCCCACAGACTAGTAGGTTATTTTTCTTCTGTGTGTATGTATATGCAGTAAACCAAACAAAAAAGGTTTGAGTGAGGATAATAAGGATAATTAAGGTAAGGATAATTGGTTTAGTTGTTTGCACCCATCCTCCCAGATTTACAATAGTGTATCAGCAAAATATCTTCAGAGCCAAGAAAGGAAAGCAAAACAAAAAAAATTAAGAATAATTAAATGCTTCCAAACACAGAAATGGTGCCCAATGGGCACCCTGGCAAATGGAAGTGTGCAGGGGAGGAGGAGATCAGCCAGTGAGAAGCAGTGGGTCAGACAAAGGGTCAATATTCTCCAACCCCCTGTGGTTCTGGGTTCTGACTGTCAGGGAGCAGAAGGTCACAGCACATTAACTGAAGTTCCTGCATGGGGAGGAGGGATAATAGTAAAAAGGGCAGTGCTGCCAGTGCTGCCAAAAGCAACAGCACAATCGAGGGAGAGGAGGAGGATTCCATATGCCAGAAGGGTGGAGAGCCAGATTTGCAAAGATACTTCAGTACCTAACAAATGGTACTGAGCTCCTAGCTGCAAGACATGTTAACAGCTGATTACTCTCACTGATTACAAAGCTGTACAGTAGTTAAGGCTCTCAATTCCTCAGGGACATAACAGGGTGGTTTCAGCCACACAGGTTTGTCAGCTGATTTCCACCTACATTCATCTAGTACCTAGGGTTTGGGCAATATTCATCCAGTCCTGACCAGACTCTCAAATTTTCCAAGATGCTGCATTATTTTGATTTAGAAATGAGTACTCTGAAGGTATCCCAACAGTTTGTAAATGAGTAAAAAACTTCAGCTAGCACTGATTGAAAACTTCTTGCAGACTTCTCACATTCATCTGCCCGAAGTGCCTGCATTTCAGTTTATTATTTGTTTTTATTTTCTGCTAATTAAAAACATAAAATGAAAGGAATAATTACTTAATATTATTGGGGTAAAGCCCTTAGTTGAGTTGAAGTAGAATGGGAAAGCAAGACCCTGCCCAAACTTATTTAGAGCAGGATGTTGGATGTCATACCCCAAACCCTTCTTCTAAGCTAGGGACATTGTAGGGCCACTTTCACTGAGTTTTATTATTTCAATTATTTTAGACTACAAAATAATAAACCAGTTGTTAATAACAAACAAAACAAAAGTAAGAAAAAAAATAATGAAACCAAAAAACTCAAACCAAAATAGAATCCCAGAATGGTTTGGTTGGAAGGGACCTTAAAGCTCATCCAGTGCCACCCCAGCCATGGCAGGGACACCTCCCACCGTCCCAGGCTGCTCCAGCCCCAGTGTCCAGCCTGGCCTTGGGCACTGCCAGGGATCCAGGGGCAGCCCCAGCTGCTCTGGGCACCCTGTGCCAGGGCCTGCCCACCCTGCCAGGGAACAATTCTGAGGGAAGGTAAAACACAGAAAGAATATTGAATAAAATTGAGAGGTAAAGAGTACAGCTGCTCACTGGACAAACCAAATGGACTTGGAGGTCTTTGGGTGTCGGGATCTCTAGCTTGTGAGAGTGACCCCAAGAAAAGTTGGAAAGTCTCTTTTCCCAGCCCAGCACTTGAAGAAGCAGTCAGAGCTCTTCCTTTCTAGGTCTCGAGGTTGTTTTTTGTATCTTATCTATAAAATTCTTTCTCCTGCCCTGCCCAGGTCCATCCAGCAGGACAGCTCCAGGCACTCTGCCTGCCCCCAGGGCAGTGTTATGACTTTAGACTAAAAACTACATGTACAATGTTGACAATTACTTCCCAATACCTATCACCTATGTTAGACAGTGAGCTTCTACTCTAAACCAATCTGTAAGTGCCAACATCACTCAGAACATGGAGGCCAAGAAGGAGGAGAAAGGCTGGACACGCCCAGATCCCTCCATCTTACCCCCTGAACCCCCATTCTGAAACCCCAAAAATCGACTTTTTCACCCTGTGATAAATTCACTATCATTCCATTTAATTTTTCATGGCTTGCTGATCTTCATCTAAGGTTGGTAACTTGCTCTGTGGGTCATAATCAAACCCACAAGGGCATCTTGGGCTCTGTGCCAGGGTCTCTGAGCCCCCTGGCAGGGCCTTGGCTGCTAAGGACAGCCAGAGGGATGTCCTGGGTCCTGACATTTGGGGGTTTATTTTTCAAGGTAACTAAAATATGCTGGTTATGTAAGAGGCTTCTCCTGGCTTCAAAAGTGTGCATATGCTCAGAGTGCTCTGCAAAAGCAAAGCCTAACAATATGGACAAAATAAACACCTTGATCATTACCAGATGGAATTTGTGTATTCGGCATTACTTAATTTCATAAATACTTAATCATCATTAAAGTCACTAGATGGCTTTTTAAAAGCAGTTAGTTGTTAAGATGATTGGCAGTTTTCCTTGCTGTTGATAACACCTAATGATGCATTGCAGAATGGAAAGCTACATTAAGAAATCCAAAAATACCTTCCCTGTACTCGCCACATTAGATAATTCTGAGTTTTTCCTTCCACAGACATTTACTGGTACTTAACAAGTAAAGAAGGCTGATGGATGTCAAAGGCTCTCCAAGGATACTTTTCTGTTTATTTATTCAAAAGTTTCTTCAACAGATTTTTATGTGTTGGTTGTTTTTCCCCCTAGTCTCTGGGCCCAACAAACACAGTAAGTTTTATAGTATCAACTGAATCACTTCAGAGTTTCATCAATTTTACTTGTCTTTATATAAGAAACACAATTATTATGTTCAGCATTTAAACCCAATCCTTACAATGAAGGATTAGGACATGAAAAAGTATTCTTCACTTGTTTGTGCAATAGGAAAAAAAACTGTGAGGGTACTGAAGAGGCCAAAGCCAGAAGATAAAAATGGGATGAGCCTCATATAAGAGAGTTTAGTAAACATAAACTAGCTTCAAAATCAGATTTACACAGGACAGCACTCACACCTCTAATAGCCACCCTGACTTTCAGCAAGCCCAGAGTACAAATACAGACTGCACCTTCCAAACCTTCCTTTTTGCTTCTCTTTCCACTGTTTATATACCAGGATCCTACAACACTGAGCATATTTACTTAACTTCAGGCAAACAAGAAAAGCTCCTTAGTGATGTGCTCTATTTAACTATTTTTTAATTAATTCTAAATACAGAGGCCTTTGTTGTATTTAATTATTCGTGTTTTGTATGACAGACTAATCACAAACATTATCATTAATTTTGAATAGAAGAAAAAGAGAATATAATATTTCCCCTGAATTTCTACTTTATTTTTGTTCTTTCTGGTTGGCTGCATCAGTGGTAAGTTTCCCCTACCTATGAAGGAAAAAAAAAAGAATTTGCAAAGCTAACCACCAACTTAGATATTTCTCTGGAAATGTAATTGTTAATTCCAATGAGAAATTTAAGTTATGCATAATTTAGAACTTTTAGTCTGTACAAATACAGCATAGCAATAGAACAAAACAGTTACTACCCAAAAGTTTTAAGCCTTAAATTGGCCTGGATTTGTAAAGGAATGTTTGATTTCTCTCAAAGTTGAGTTTCCAGTTGTT